TCTTTGAGGTCGGGCAGGGCCGACGCCCACATTTCAGGAGGGACCTTGCGGAAACCATGGGGATTAGCCCCATTCGCCTGCTGATCAAGCCAGCCCTCCAAGGTCTGACCGACTATTCCCACCAGGGCACGTGCACCAGAAATGTGTTAGCGACCGCTGTGGCCCCACCCGACAGCACATGGCGGGCCGATAGGGAGCCCATCGCTTTCATTGACTTGCGACCAGTTATGCTGGGGGTAGAGTGGAGGTTTGCTCCTGACGGCACCCTTGACTGCCGTGATGTGCTGGAGCGCCTTATCCCTCGATGCCCTCCGAATTTCGTTGTTTGCATTGCAAGAGATGGAACCTTGTTTCGGGCCCCCCAGTATATTGCTCATGTTGAAGATGGGGAAGTCTTTGCGTTTGTTCTCGCCAACACGTTAACCAATTCCATGTTGGTTCTCCCGGATAGGCAGCATCCTGCAAATGCAGGCGGTGATAATAGCCCCTCGGAGCGCCAGCCAATGCCAGCGTCAGGATCACCAGAGCCACCTTCCCCCGGCGGTAGCGGACCGCCCCCCGTAGGGCCGGATACTGGAGGAGATCAGCGCCATGCCACTGGCAACCCTGCCCGCTGCTGCAGACATCAACGCAGCAACCGGAACCCCAGGAACAGCTCCCGACCTCCTACTTGGTCTCCGGCTGTTTCCAGCAGAGGGGCTGTAGGAACCTTAGTCGTGGCAGTGATCGCCTCCTATTGCCGTGTCGAATCCAGTGCTTGCAGTGTCAGCCCAGTTTTCGCCGCCCTTGGTCTAGCTTTCGTATCCCCAGCGTGCAATGAGATTGCTGGCGTACTGGCGTTAGGCTTACTCCCCCGTGTGAGTGCCATGCAACGTCATTCTCATGGCCAGCTTTGCAACCCTGCTTCCGCTATGGCAGCCCTGGCCAAGGAAACAGGGCGCCAGAGTACCACTCAGGCCCTGAATCGGGCAACCCCGAGACCAGTGCCTACACCATTAAGGAATGCCCGCTTCCCCCCCGACAGGCTAAAGGCCAGGATGCTTGAATTTGAAGGTGTGTCACCGTTGGAGACACTGCTTGAGGAAGCAGCACGCCAGCCTGAATGCGAAGCGTTCATCAATGCCGCTGCCTGGTTGGATACGCTCTTCGAGTACTTCGAGGGTTCCCCTTACACAAGCGTTACGCCAGCAGGCCAAGCCAACGTGAGGTCGCAAGGTAACCCAGAGGCCAGACAGGTCATCAATCTCGTCAGCGTCTTGGGTAACAACCCCGGATATGACAGGGTCATAACGGGAAGCCCATTCACTAGAGGTGCACCCCTTGCGTCCCTCATCATGCCTACAGCTGCCAGCGCAGTGCGTTCTGTGCGCTATGGTGACACCTCTCTCGGTTTCTCCCTCGCCGATGTCGAAGCATTGGCCGCCTGCCCCTACCGCCTGCACAGCTGGGAAGAAGCTACAGCACTAGCCCCCGCACTTGAGAAGTTCCAAGTTGCTGATGTCGTTGCGTATGTGCGGGGGCTCGCACAAGCAGATAACAAAGAAGGGCCGGATGTGTGGTGCTACACTGACGGCTCCTTTAAGCCCGCTGATGCACTGAGCCCCCAAATGGGATGGGCGGTCGTCCTCGTACAGCCCTCAACGCAAATGGTGCGCCTCGCCTGGGGTGGTGTACCACCTACTCTGAATGCAGCCCGTATCGAGGCATCTGCTTACGCCACTGAATGCCAGGCTCTGCTTTCCGCAGGCATTCTTACCCTCCTCGGATGCAATGGCCTCAGGGTGCACTACCTCTCTGACTGCCAGTCAGCCCTCGCCGCTATTGATGGCTCAGCACAGTTTGCAGCCGGGGGAGTTGCGTCTGCTGCTAGCAACATGCACCTGCTACGCCGAGAGCTTAACCCTCAGTGCAGCATGTATGAATATGTGCCGGGTCATGCCGGTGTGCTTCCCAATGAAATTGCAGATACTCTGTCGAAGATAGGTGCCTTAAGCAAAGAAGTTTCGTGCGGACTAATTGCCAGCCACGACTTGACTCTGCGCTGGTTTGCTAATGGAGCTCCCCACTTACCGTGGGTTGCCGTCGCCCTCCGCAGCCACATGGGTGACGTCAGCCTCCCAACAATTGGAGTGCCTGATCTAGGGCATGATAGTTACCACGGAGGTCTAAGTAAGTTAGATCTCCTTGCCCCCTTTGTATCTGTAAATGCTGCTGAGCAGGCTGCCGGCGGCTGTCAGTCTGCTCATGTTTCCGCCAGCTTACACTTAAGGTTCGCCACCTTCAACACACTGTCCCTTTTGGGGGACCCCGCGGAGCGCGAACCCGCAGGGCTCACCGGCGGTCCAGCCAGGGCCGCCATCTTAGCAGCTGCGCTAGCGGAGAACGATATCCACATCGCGTGCCTCCAGGAAACCCGTTCCGACCGAGGACAGTCGAGAGTGGGCAACTACGTCCGATATGCTGCAGGAGCGGTGAAAGGACAATGGGGCACAGAAGTATGGGTCAAACAAGGGCTCTCCCTGCTTGAGCCAACAAGCCACGATAACCGCACTCATTTTGAGGCGTGTCAGGCTACTGTGTTGGCCGCCGACCCCAGACGCATCCTTGTCAGGCTGCACTCTAAGTCCGTAACGTTGCTCATAGCCTCCCTGCATGGGCCACACCGTGCTTTTGAGTCCGGAACGATCAGACAGTGGTGGGAGGAGACCTCCAAGATCCTCCACCGATACCGCAAGAATGAGTATTTGGTAATAGGCGGAGACTGCAACGCAGCTGTGGGCTCTGAAGCCTCGGAAGCTATCGGGCCGCACGCAGCTGAGATGGAAGACGAAGCAGGTACCCAGGTCCGGCTCCTTGCCGCTCATTTCGGCCTCTGGGCCCCTGCCACCTTTGATGAGCACCACAGAGGGCCGACGCACACGTACTGCCAGAAGAAGAGTGGTCGCCTGTGCCGACCCGACTTAATCCTAGTCCCTGCTGCCTGGGCCAAAGGCCGAGTGAGCTCCTGCACCAGCCCAGATATCCACGCTGCCCATGTGTGCCAGGACCATGTCGCCGCCGTGGCTGACCTTCGTCTCGCACTCACCGTAGCCGCGGGCAGCAAAAGCCACCGCATGCGGCGCATTAGGGCCAGTGATGTGGTCGACGAGGCCAACCGGGGAAAGGTGCTTGACATCCTTCGGTCTGCCCCCCCCCGTGCCGTGGCAGGTGTCAGTACATGCCCATGTGGCACTCGTTACACGCCATCTGCAGGACGGCCTTAGCAAACTCACGGCTGAGCAACCCAAGCGACCCCGACACCCATATCTCACAGACGAGACATGGCAGCTCCAGCGCAGAGTAGCACAGCTCAGACGGGCCCTCCATACCAGGCAGCACATACTGCGCTGCCATTGCCTGTTGACATGTATGCGTGTATGGCGGTACAGCTCAGACACGTTTGTGACCCTCTACATGTTCAACGCCTGGGTCTGGCAAATGGAGATCATGTCTGCCATCCAGGCGGCCCAGCTACGCACCATGGGCCTCGCCCTGCGAACGGGCTGCAAGCGAGACCGAGATGCTTATGTGGAGCAACTGGCATTGCAGTTCTCCGAAGGCCCCAGCCAACAGGTCTACCAGAAATACCACAAGCTTTTGGTGCATAGGCGACGGAAGCCCTTCCAACTGGAGCCGCTGCCTATGCTCAATAAGGCGGATGGGACCCAGTGTCTTAATTCTGCCGAAGCGACGCAGCGATGGCGGGAGCATTTCGGTTCCCTTGAAGGTGGTCAGGACGCTAGCTATCAGAGTCTTGCTGCTGCATTGAATGAGGAGGCTAGCTCCTGCGGTGACCAAGGGTGGCCTCAGCCAGCCAATGTTGCACTTATGCCCTCAATGGCCACGCTGCAGCAAATACTAGCCGCAACCAAAACTGGTAAGGCCCCGGGGCTGGACTCCATACCAGCAGAACTCTGCAGGCACTTTGCCGTAGACCTTGCTAGGGTCTTGTTCCCCGTGCTGATGAAACAAATGTGGCGGGGGCGGGAAGCCCTGGGATGGAAAGGCGGGGAAGCCATCGTACTGTACAAGCATAAAGGTGCGGTCAACGAAGTTTCCTCTTACAGATCCATCCTGCTTCTTTCCAGTTTGGCGAAAGCATGTCACCAAAGTCTTCGACCACCGCTTAAAGCATTGTTCCATGACTCTGCCCCGAGTCTGCAGCTTGGAGGACGAGCCGGTGCCAGCATCACGTTCGGTTCCCACTTGCTAAGGTGTGTTACGGCTGCTGCTATGCACAAAGGAGCCACAAGCTTTGTCTTGTTTGCAGACATCGCGTCGGCCTTCTACTGTACGGTAACACAATTAGTGGCCAATAAGGGCGGGAACATAGATGAAGACCTACTCCAGCGCATCACGGATCAACTCCACCTTGCGCAGGAAGATGTGACGTCGCTCAGACAGCACCTCGCACAACCATCGGCTATGTCTGCAGCGCGTGCTGAGCCATGGCTAGAAGCCGTAACTGATTGCCTCTCTACCGGCAACTGGTTTGTGCTTCGGGGTGACTCAACCCCCATCGCCACAGCGCGTGGCTCTCGCCCGGGGTCATCCTTCGCGGATATTGTGTTTGCCCTCCTCCTACCCAGGGTGTTGCAGGCACGGGACGCATTGCGATGCACTTCCGAACCGGCTGCGATAGCCCCCCACATACCCTGGGACGGCAGCCGGACGCTGGAGCCATGCGCACCGGAGGCCCCCGACATCATGATTGATGAAATCATGTGGGCCGATGACATTGCGATACCGAGATGGGGCGTACGCAACCATGCGACGCGCACTGCTATTGCCGTTGAGGCGGGAGCTTTGGCGGACGCTTGCGCGGAGCACGGCCTGCGGCTATCATATGGAGCCTCCAAGACCGCTGCTTTGGCCTCCATTTGCGGCCAGGGCTCCCGAGCCGTCCGCAAAGCGCTATACGGCAGCGCAGGTTTCAAAGGTACACTTGAGGTTGTGCGCGAGCATGCTGCCCCAGTCAACTTGCCCCTTGTGGGCCATTATAAGCACTTAGGAGCAGTGCAAGCCCCTGGCGGCTCAATCCGGCCCGAGTTACGCTACCGAATAGCCTCCGCCAAAACAGCGTACCATGAGGCAAGGCGTAAAATCTTTAAGAACCGAGGTATCAGGCTCCAGCGTAAGGCAATGGTGCTCGAAGCCACGGTTCTGAGCCGCCTCACGCAAGGCGCGGGATCATGGCCCAATCTTTGTAAGGCCGACCAAGCGGCCTTCGATGCCGCAATCTGGCATTTCTATCGTGGGATCCTGTGCATTCCACGGACAGGCCCTCAGGATATCTCTGCGCTCGCTTGTTGTGCCTTGGTACGGCTGCTCCCCCCGGATGCTATACTACGCCGGTCACGGCTCCAATACCTTCGACAGCTCGTAGCTGCCGGACCGCCCCAGTTGTGGGCCTGCATCAAGGCTGATAGGTCGTACTGCGACATGTTAGCCTCTGACCTTCGATGGGTTTACGGAAGGACTCATCTGATGCCGGCTGTGGAGGATCCGGACACCTCCTGGGACACTTGGCGCTTTCTCATGCTCCACCGTCCAAGCGTCTATAAGAACGCGGTCCGCACAGCATTTAAGCTTGAATGCGCACGCATTGCGCTTGTCGCTGCTTTGGATGGGTTGCACAGGGGACTTCATGCGCTCGCGCCGGGACCCATTCGTCTGCCTGCCCCATCTCAGCAAGGATATGCGGAGCTTTGTGTACCCTGCCGCCGAGCCTTCAGCACCAGAGTTGCCTGGGCAGGGCATGCCGCGCGCAAACATGGCTATAGGTCTAAAGCTCACCTTTTAGCTACGGGCAATGTCTGCACTGGATGCGGCTACACCTTCGGCAGCTTAGGCAGGTTAAGGCGCCACCTAGTTTCCGTCCCAGCATGCACTATCCGTTGGGGATCATTCATCCCAACGGATGGGGTCTCTGCCCCTTGCCTGCACCCGCTGGCTCCCCCAGAACCCGTTGCAGGGCAATGGACTGCAGCGCCCAGTGGCAACTGCGACAGGCAATATTCCCATGCCCTTCTGGAAGACCTTGAGGGCTTCAAGGACGGACCAGAGGATCAGGTCTGGGAAGTTGTCTCTGAACACATTGAGCCCCTGGATGTGCTACGCAGTACGGTGCAAACATGGAAAGACCGATATCCGCACAGTCAGTGGCACCAGGAAGTGGCGGAAAACATGCTGCTGCTTCTGGATCCGGCGGTTACCGCCGAGGTCTTCCCGGAGGACCCACCTGTCAAAAAGGATACCTACGGAACGCCATTTTGGACCGCCCCCGTAGGTATGCCTATGCAGCTGCAGGGCGATGTTCACCAAGCTGTGCTCGTTGCCCCACCAGCTTGGCGTATGGATCTGATACAGGCTACTTGCTTGACGCCTAAGCACGCTGATGCCGTGGTCACGTGGACAGAGGCGGCGTGCCATGCTGTCCTGAAGTGTGCCGCGAAAGCCAGCCAGCAACCTGTCTGGCTGTCGTGCCCAGGTATCTGGTCCGCCATTCCCTGCGCTCAATGTTGGATTTCAAGCCTGGGGTTTGAGTGTGATACGTCCGGCTTCCACACACCCGCTTGAGTCCCGCTGCGTTTCACCTGAATTCAATTGCTAGGCGTGCGTCTAACCCAGACACCATCGCTCTCAAATGGAAAAAAAATGTGTGTAACTGCTTCTGTACGGTTGGTCGGTCAATTTGTTTGTTTGTCGGTTTGTGTCTGCCTGTCCGTCTGTCTGTGTGTTTGTGTTGTGCGTGGCTGTGTTGTGTTGTTTTTGTCTGTGTGTTTGTTTGCTTGCTTGCTTGCCTTGAACGAACCAACAAACAAACAAAAGCGCACAAGCGGAAGCCAAAGAAGGATCTGCCCACTCCAGGACGCAGGCCCTGCCTTTTAGGGCGCCTCCTGTTGCGGCCCGATGCTCCTCAAAGCAATGCGACAAAGACTTTTCATGTTTCCGCGGCGTTCACTGGAGTTTCAGACATTTACAGGACCAGGTTGATTTTGGAATTTGCTCGAGCCGTGTCATCCTCAAGGGTGTCAGGGCTTTGGGAGTCTTGGATTTGTCCCAGAGTCCTAGGCACAATCATAAACCGCATTGACCTTGAGCCCTGTAGTTTAGGGAACTGCTAAAGTTAACTCCACAGAACAAGTATTTCAAAAGAAACGCTCCCACCCTTCCAGACTTAAGTTCTAAACTCCATCCGCAAACCTCAAACCCAACGACCCCAATTGAAGCCCCAGGCCAACCACCCTTGAACACAGCCTCTCACGCCCTAACTCCTAAACCTCAAGCCACGAATCCTACAGTGAACCCGAAACATCCCGAAACTCCAAGACCCAGAAGCGCAACGAAAACCCCAAAAGAAGCCTCCAGCAGGGCAGCCGCTGAGGATAGGCGCCCGGGGAAACTCGGAACTGGCTCCGCGCAGGCACTCCTACCGTTCAGGATCTGCGAGAGTTTAGATGTGTAGGTGGGATGTAGTTAGGGAAGATGGTTTGGGTGTCTCCGGCAAGGTCCTAAGGTCCCGAGGTTTGGGGACTTGTGGTTGAGCGTAGGACGTTCTGTCGCAGGCTACATGAAGCCTCCTGAACCAGAAGCCAAGCAGGCGAACTCTGGCAAGAGAGACTAACCCTCACGGCGTTATGAGGTCGTGAAGCTCTCACTGAAAGCAGCATGGATTGATCACCTTTGCAGTAATACCTGTGCACCCTAGGTGATGCTGCAACAGGATGTGGCCACCTCGACATCGTAGCGACACATTGCTTAGGCCCCTTGGGGCGATCACTCCGCATGAAAAACATAGAGTTCACTAAGCGGGGGAAGACGCCAAAAACTCTTCACTTATGTATTTGCGGTGCACATACCTGGTCCGGGTCTCGGTTTGTAGAATGTGAGGTCTGGGGTTTTAACCTTGGCTTACGGAAAAGGGTGTGGGTTTCATTTCCGTGCTTCATCATTCTCCCAAGCCTGTTGCCCGGAAGCCATTGGCTCATCTTCTAAGCTTGAAAAGATTCAAATACGAGGCTTATGATGCACTCCGATCTGTTAACTCAGAAGGCCTTCTGTTTTTCAGAGGTGTGGGATGTAGATATAGACAAAGAACTTAAGCGGCGATTGCTTTCCGAAAGCTTTCGGAAGTAGACCCGGAATTGCAAATTGCAAGGCGTCCTCAGGCGAGCGTCGGCGGCCTGCGGTTTGTGTACAAACGCGGCTTGGGAGTGAACTAGTCCGTCCTAATATCCTACAGTAGCGGAGAGGAGGGCATAGTCAGAGCACCGGGTTCTCCGAGATCCTGGGAGGAGTAAAGCGCTTTTGAAATGAGTCTTGTGCCCTTGACAGCCTCAGTGCTTCAGGCCTACAGTCCTACGTTTAAGTCTAAGGGTTCTGTAACCTGCCTACGACAAAGCCTAGAACCTAGAACCTTACACAAACTGTCACAAACACACGATGAAACCCTGAACCAATCCTAAACTACACGTCTCATGCCGCAAGGGTTGGGCTGGATGGAATAGCCCAATGTCTGCAAGAGCCTAGCCAACACACTCTAAGAAGGAGGTTGGGCTCGGACGGTTGGCCGCCTGGGTATGGGTTGAGATGAAATACCTCGAACCAAAACTTGCCCTATGAAGCTGCGGCCTACAGCCGAGTTCCGATAACAACTCGCACGGCACTACGGTGGTGGCGGCACTTCTAGGGCTTGTGGTCTCTCTGGTGTTCAAAAGGAGTGCAAGTGTCAGGAGCACGTCTTTTCATGGGTGAGGCTGCACGGTTTCGGCCTCACGGGTTTTGGACTTGTCCCTATGCCCAAGCCACCTGCCCCCAGCGGACGGCAGCGGCATCAACATCCTTCAGAAAGGGGGAAACAGGCGAGAGGGTTTTGCTTTGAGGTGTTTTGGAGCTGCTGGCGGAGTTTTGGATTTCAGGCGTTGGCTTTTTTTTTAAGAGTGTGAAAGTTGATGGTTGGGGTTTAGGGCCAGTTTAGGGTTTAGCGTTCAGTGAGGGTTCGGGTTTCAGGTAAGGGTTTTGGGAGTTTTGGAATCCCATGGCCCTGGCGAACATCAGTGGCTGCTAGCTGCAGGGTTTATAAAGGGCTGGCTGAGGTATGCGGGCTAGACGACTGGAGGTGTGCTTTAGGGATATCTTCTACCAAACCCCAAATCCGAAAACGACGAAGTCACAAACAGAGAAAAACCACCTTTGCCGCAAACCTATGCAGTGAGATCACCATTTCTTGCTGGCACACTAAGGCTGAGGGCTTCAGCACAAGAGAGTCCCAAAAGAGCCCCAGCCCTAAAAGGCAACCACCCCATCCCCAGGACCTAAAACCCCCAATCCCGAAACCCTCAGTCCGACAGCCTGAACCCTTTCCGACTCTGGGGGCGCCTATCAGCCTAGGCGTGGCTAGGTTTGGCTTTCAGGCCTGGCATCCCTTCGAGGCATGGCTCAAGGGCTATGTCATCAAGGTTGAGGACTCAAGGCCTATGGATGTGAAGGGAGAGCCAGGCTCTGGGACCTTAAGTCCCGCAGAAGCGACTTCGGGAGACCAGGTGGCACGAAGTCTCAAAGCTTCCGCAAATCCGGATGCATTTTCAACGCGGGGTTCTATCCCTTTGCAGCCATGTGTGAAAACAGATCGGGCCATGCAAAAGCCTCCTGATCATCAACAAATCGTCCAAAACTAACCAAGCTACTCGGCCCTTATAATGCCTACAGAACCTCGTGACAAAACTTATTTAGTTGCACTTGTTGTGGTGCTCAGAACGTTGTCTTGTAAAGGCACCTCTTATCTCTGCTCGTGCCGTTTCCTTCTGTTCATCTCTTCTCTTTTTTGGCTTCTAATTGCTGGGTTTCGGGGCTGAGGTCCGAAGCTACGACGGTGCCTTCCGCACCTCCTCGCGGCGCTGCTTTAGTGCCTCCAGAAGGGACTCTGAAGCCTCAGCGGAGCTTCAGAAATCCAGGCTCGAGGCCTAAGGCGAGGTTTGAGAATGCAAGGTTTAGGCATAATTAAGGCTTATGGCTGCAGGGCTCAGGGCTTAGGATGTATATAGGATTTGTTAAACAAATGTGCCTTCAGAACAGAGACAGGGTACATACACCTTCTTTAATCTTGAAGGGTTTAGGAAGAAAGACGGGCCCTGCTCGAGCAACTTCCTATGCAGTCTGCATTAACCGCCTGTGGAGATTGACAACTTGGTGAGGAAGGGCTTGTTTAGGGTCTCACTGCTCGGAGAGGTGTTGATAACGGTGTTAAGGCTTCTGTGTCGTTTCACATGCTGTGCACTCCACCAGGTCTTAGCTTTGTACGAAGCCAGCTCCGGTGACATAAGCAAACTGATTCAGGATGCCCTTTGTAATCAATGACTGAAACCCACAAAGTCCTTGCAGACTGCAATGAAACCGTACAGCAAGATAAATCCACTAGAGTCTCAGCTTGGGGTTTCGGGCTTAGGCGTGCACCTCGCCCTGAAGAAGTGTCCGCAAGCCATCGCTGAAGCAGCGGGTACCTGGTGGTGGCCGCTCCTGGGCGAAGGCTGCGTTCTAGGGTTTGTCGTCTAGAGTACTTCCGGCAAAGGCTACAAAGACATCGTGTCGGACGTCATTGGGTGTCGGATTCTGGCGAGCCTCGCAGTTCGTCTCAGTCGCGAGGGCTGCTACTTCTGGGTGTAATTGCGCCGCCTCTTCTCCCATATCCAGAGTTCGTGGTACCAGTAAACTGCGAACTTCCAACTCTCAAACACCTGGTCCAGAAGACCCCAACTTGACGAAGACTCCCTTACAAACTTCGGATCTAGGCTGCGGGACCCCTAACATTCAGAACCGACCAGATTAATGCTCCGGGCAACCGACTCCATCGAAAAGGCGTATGTGTTGTCAAGCCATTTATGGCGCAACCCACCACCTGACACCTTAACCTCCCCAAATCCCCGAGAAATCAGCAGCTCCTTGGCAAGAACCCCAGCTTTCCCAGCTTTGAGTCAAGTTGCCAACTCATCCTCCTGCGCCTGGCGAAAAGGGGAAGCTGGCAGACCGGAATACAGTAAACCCGCATGTAGGGGGCCAGTTCACATTTAGGGTTCAGGGCTTGGAGACGTTATGAATAAGCATTCAAGTTCTGATTGTGTGCATGCTGGGGGGCGTCTAAAGGAGTGGTATCAATGCCCTATATGTGCGCATGTCTGCCTATCTTTCTGTCTGTCTGTCCGTCCATCCGTCGGTCTGTCCGTGCACCAGTCCGTCTGATGCATGTACGTGTGTACGTACGTACGTACGTATGTATATGTCATGCGTGTCATGTATGTCATGAATGTCAAGTATGTCATTAATGTCGTGTATGTATGTATGTATGTATGTATGTATGTATGTATGTATGTATGCATGTACGTGTGTATGTATGGTACTGTATGGTGTTTGTGTGTACTGTATGGTTTTGTAAGGTACTGTATGGCATTATATGGTCTTGAACTGTATCGTGTTGTATGGTATGGTATTGTTGTGTTGTGTTGTAGTGTATTGTATTGTATAGTATCGTATGTATTGTATGTATTGTATGTATTGCATTTCTTGTACGCATGTATGTACGTTCGTACGTAGGTAGGTAGGTCAGGTAGGTATAGGTATAGGTATTGGTATAGGTATTTACGTGTGTATGGTTAAGGCTCGGGGGCCTACGGGGAATGGGGTGTGAACGGTTAGAGTTCCGAAACTCATGTGCGGGATTATATAACTCATAGTTTTTCAAGCCACTCACCTCACGGTGTGTAGTTCACTACAGCAAGTCCGCTGAACAGTATCCGGATTTAGAACATCACGCCGCGCAGAGCACATTTTTCTCATGTTCAGAAGTCTTCTGCAGGGATTGGCACACCAAGCACCCTCAGCACTTGGTCTGCAATCATCAGAGAGCTTGTCAACCCCGGCGATTCGATTCCGTAGAGCCCACAGTATCCTTGGCTGAAATCTCTGCTTGTGGTTGGTTTTCACGGTCGGGGCTAGGTTTGAGGGAGCATGCTGGGAGGTTGAAGGTTTTCGGATATGTATGGATCAAGAAAAGTCTTCCTAGGGTAACAGAGAGAGCAGCGACAACGACCAGCCCAATATCCTAGACCCCATATTTGCTCCAGATGCCCGCGCGCTTCAAAACGACTGGGCTTTTCAACCCAGAGCCCTGAGACTCAAAAGTCCCACGATACACTCCTCCATGACTCCATGCCTTATGGGCACAAACGTGCGCACGCCTCTCACTCGCACACTCGCTCTCTCCTCATGCAACAGCAGGCTCGGAGACCACGTAAAACATGAACAGCAGCAGCGTGGTAGCTTGGAGCCAAGCAAGAACCAGATCTTCAAAATCGCCCAGTTAACTGCAGAGGAACTCAAAGTTTCAACCATGACCCCGTGGAACCAATGATTACTGGAGGCTCCCTCCATCCCGTGGCTGGTGATCTCGAAGTCCCCGCTGGGGACCTGATCGGGCTTGGTGGGGGCTTTTCGGGTTTAAGTCGTGACATGACGCCTTGTATACACAGCATCCGGACAGCAAGCCTTGAACACTACACAGCACAGACAGAGGGCATGTCTGTGGAGGATAAAGATCAGACCTCAATACTTGAGCTCAAACCTTAAACCACGACCCAAAATTCCTAAACCCTCAGACCTAAACCCTGTGCCTTGACACGGAGCCCCGAGTAGTCGGGCGCAAGGCTTCCGGAGGGAAGGCTCGGCCACCAGCACTGGATGGACTCCTTCTTAACGCGTGCCGACTTACTGCTGTTCTGGTTACTCCTCGTCTGAGTACTGATGATGAAGGCTGGATAATGTTACTTTAAGTTTTTTGCTACTGCTGACGCACGTTAATCGTCAATGCAGAGCCCTGTTGAATAACTCCAGTCCTTAAGGATCGTATGATTGGAATCGCTTCCGCAATGATTGCTGAGGGAGGAGGGTTTAGCAATCAGGGGTCTACAGCACATTACCGTGTATGAAACAAGTGCGAAAAATCAACACAATTAGGCAATGGCCCTCTCAGACACATCTTCCTGGTTTAAATGTTGCGAACTGCCTGTCGATACTGAACCATTGACGACAATATCGCAAAGCGCTTGTGGTTACGATACTTGGAGCTTCATTCATCCATGTATCATCTACATCGTTTCAAATGCCTATAACATGAACGACAGGCTGGCTTTAGCCACGGCGCGCCAATAGTGCTACAGCTGGTCAAAAAGACTTGGATAAGGTTGGAACTCATGCGGCGTTCTCATTCCTGGTTTGCTAATTTTCACAAGACTCATCACGTTGCTACTAGCATGCGAACAGCAGAAACTCATGGTTACAGAAACTCTGGCCCAATTCAAAAAATAATAATAAAATCCGAATGGGAAATGTTCAGAATCCCCTGTAGATATTAATGTCTTTACAAATTTCGATGCCCGACAGCAATCATGCCGGAAGTGGCAGGCGTCAAGCACAAGGCGTGACAAAAAAAAGACTCTCTCAGAACGATGTGGGGTTCGGCTTTTGGTTCCAACTTTTGGGTTCAACACGTAGGCTCTAAGACCTGAGCCTTGGAGTACTCCTGAAGCTGTAAAGAGAAAACCGAAACCTGAGGCCAACCCAAGCCCTCCTCGAAGGATGCAGCACGGGAGGCGTCGACGCGGTAAACCCCGGAGCCGTCCATATCCTTCTTGGCGCAGCGTGCTTAAAGCTAGGGTTTCGGGGGTTTTGCGGTTAAAATCTCAAAATATTTTAGGAATAAGGGCTGAAGGGTGCATGCTTTTGCGATCGGGGCTCGGATTTAAGGTTCAATCAGGGACAGGCACAAGGCCCAAGTTTTGAAAGCTTACTTAGTTAAAGGCTCTGGGCAACTTGGGATCCTCATGCCTGCTAGTCTTTGGCCCCGGAAGCCGGTCGAAATCTCTCAAAACCCAACAGCCCTTTGAAACACTCGGCCCTAAACCACCGAAACCCCTCCGGAACCCATCCCGTGCCCATCCCATGCCAAAGTAGAGCGCTCAGGATTTATGCAGAAGGGCGCTGCTCATCGCGTCCCTGAGCTTTTCAGAAGCTGTTGATCCATACGGGCTGACAATCTGAAAAGCTGATGAGACCCGCAACTGAGACCCAAAGTTTTGAGACCTCAGGGCTTTCAAACGCCTAGAACACCAAATGCTGGCCCTTGCCCAGCATGCCACCAAAGCCTGGAACCCTAAACCCCGCAACTTGCCAGCTGGTGCTTTTGAATGTTGGGCTTCTTTAAGCACTTCAACCTTGCACAAGCACCCTATCATCACACTAGTTGCTAGCTAATGCCGCCATAACCTTCAGAACCGAGGACCCAAAAGCCCTGAAACAAAGCCTATTCTCCACCTTCAGACCCTTATCCCGGAAGCGTGAGGCACGCAACTTTCCACAAGCCCTAAGACCACGAAGGCCCTAAACCCGATCCTTGACTGGAGTATAATCGTCCGGCAGCCACTCCGTGTCTGGGCCGAACTTAGCTCCTCCGCCCTGGGGAAGCACAGGACAGGTACAACTTGTGATGGTGATGACGGCGAGGAAGATGGTCGCGAAAACAATAACTTGGTTCTGTGCAAGATTATGATTATGATGTTAACGGTGGTGAGGGAAATTTGAGATGATGACGGATAGGCTGGCGGTCATGCTTAAGATGAAAATGAAGATGTAGCTGTTGATGAAGATGGCGAAAGCGCTGCAACTATGACTATGAACCTGCTTCCCCATCTGTCATCATGACCAGGCACAACACAAGTCGTTGCAACAAGCATAGTTCCGGCAGGACATGCGTATTGCTTCACAACAACCGCACAAGCTGCCACGCTGCTCAAAGGCCCTCAGCCTGTCGGATGAAACATTCAGGGCTATGGGTTGCGGCTTCAGAGGAGTTCAGGATTTCCCGCAGACTTTAAAGTTGCCAAACCTTGGAGCATGTAGCTTTTGGCAGACTTGTGGTGTCTTGCCTTTCTCTGTGCATCGCGCGTGGTGTCGCTGGAAGAGCTCCCGGAACCCCGAATGCTCGTATAATCCTAACCCCAGGAACCCGTAACAGCAATGTGTGGTTAAGTAAACCTGCGGGACCCTAACTGGGTCCTTGTACTTGTAGTGGGGATCTTACTTTTTACATTCTAGACTCGTAGAAACTCCCAATCGACTGCCAAGTGACTGGGATCTCAGTGTCAACAATTAGCCGGAACAAGCTGCAATGGCGGTGCTGCAATGGAGATATGGTTGGCACTCTGCGGAAGCAAACCCTAACCTTCCCTGCAAGCCGGGTCCTCCACATCCAGGGTCAAGTGGGTTCCCAGCCCGGCACCAGACGGCGGGGGGAGGGGATAGATGAGCCTCTGGAACCTGGTAACGCAAGTTGCTCAAGCTGACTTCAACGTTGAACTGTCGCACTTATAGGGCTTCTACCACAAAAGTTCTCAAGCGGAGTTATCGAGCTTCAACCGAAGGGGCCGTGCCTGTTCTACGGCATGGGGCTTCTCGGCGTGCAAGGCTTCATGACTTCAAAGTCAAGGCTTCCATGATTGAGGGTTTGGAGTTCTTGGGAAGACTTTTTTGCATCCCAAACCCTATCCTAACTCCCCAAACCATCGACTTTCCAGCATTTTCAGCCGAGGAACGGCACCGGCACCGTCGGTCTGAAGTAGTTGCCCTTGCAGAAACGGAACCTGAATGAGGTCTGGGTCTGCATGGGTGTTGAAAGATGAACAGGTTTCGGGACGTGTTGGGTGTCACGATTCCGAACTGACTTGAACTTTTGAACTAAGAAGCTTCGGCAGCAGCCGAGGTTCTACAAAAGTCTCCGCGAGCTGACCTGCGTGAAGCCCCGCCGCATTGATCAGCTTGTCACAAGTGACCTTGAAGCCGTCCGAGAAAGTCAAAGTGAAGACATTGCCATCCCAACTCACATCTTCCTTGGCTGCCGGTATTTTGCTGCCAAATCATGAAGCGGTCTTCCCACAGTTCCTGGTGTCGACACGACTGTGTCCCTTTACGACAGTGTCAATGCAAAGAGATATCCTTCCCTAGTTTGCCATTGTGCTACCTTAGTTTGCCGTGTGTTCTGTATCACTAAGCTTCACCTTTCCTTTTGCATTGCTAGAACGGCTGTCCACGTTATTCTGAATTCTTTGGTTATGCCATTGCCATGACAAAGCTAAACCCAGAATGGCTCTGGAGCCGCGATTGTTTGGGTGCACAACTCTCGCTTTGTAGGGCTTCGCAGTTAGCGGTCTCGTCGCTTGCAGTTGCGTGACGTGGGGACGCAAATGCGGCAGGTTCCATGATCGGTCAGGCAAACCCAACCATGCTCGTTTCCTGACATGAGACAGACTGTCACCGTTGCTTAATCGGGATGCTACGAGTTGTGCCAATAATGAGTCAGTCTTATGACTGCTACCAACTGACTTTTTTTTTGATGTACGTTGAAATCATGCTGCAGATTACTAAAACGGATACTTCTGGGTTTACAACAAGGCCTACTAGAGATTTCAATTGCAAGCGTCCACGTCGCTTCCGAAACTGAAGTCTGCGCCACTTGCCTCAGCCTCGGCCAGGAGCGCCGACACTACGGAGTGCGCGCAGATGACTCCGGTCCTTCGGACATGGAGACTCAGAAGTAGTAGTAGTAGTAGTAGTAGTAGTAGTAGTAGTAGTGGTAGTAGAAGCAATAGTAGTAGTATGAAGCAATAGTAGTAGTAGTAGTATGTAGTAGTAGCAGCAGCAGCAGCAGCAACAGCAGCGGAAGAAGTAGCAGTAGCGGTAGCAGAAGAACAAGCAGCCGCAGCAGCAGTAGCGGCGGTAGTGGTAGCAGTCATAGTAATAGTCGTCGTTCTAGTTTAGTAGTAGTAGTAGTAGTAGTAGTAGTAGTAGTAGTGGCATTAGTAGTAGTGGTAGTAGTAGT